CACGGCGAGCTCCCCCAGCTCGCCTCAGCCCCAGCCGCCAGCAGGGCTCTCCCCCTGCTCAGCACCAGGGCAGGGAGCTACCTCACGCTCCCTTCCCCACACCCAAACACCTGGGCTCGGCGGGGCGAGAAGATTGGGGCTATTTGGGGAAAAAAAAAAGGCTGTTTGGGGTCACTTCCCCGTGCCCACAGGGCAGCGGGGCTGAGCCCCCCCCCCTTGACCCCCAGCAACTTTGAGGCGCTCCTCGCACCTCAGCGCTCCCCTCACGGAGCCCAAACGCGTCGCGGGCAGCACGGCGCGATTTTTACCCTTTTTTTTCCCTCATATTCTTTTACTTTCGCCACCAAATCAGCCCGAAGCACCCCCAAAAAATAAATGAATAAATAAAAACTTCCACACAGCTCTCGTTCCGCACCCCCCCCCCCCAAAAAAAAAAAAAAAACACCTCCAGGCTCCGGGGGGGCTCCCCCTGAGGCTCCCCCTGACCCCCCCGACCCCTTCCCGGCCCTGAGGCGAGCCCGGCACTCACCCGCTCCGGGGGGCTCCGCGGCGAGGACCGTTGGGGACCGTTGGGGACCGTTGGGGAGGGGGGGGCGCTGAGGGGAAACGGGCGGCACAACGGGGCGGGGGGCGCCCGCACGGCACGGGGAGGGCGAGAGGGGGTGGAGAGAAGGTGCGTGTTTGGGGATGAAACGAGGGGTTTTTAAAGGCAAAATAAAACGGGGGTTGAAAGGAGCGAGGAGCTGGCAGCCGGGCGCTGAGGCAGCGCTGCTCTATCCCATGCCGCTGCGGGGGCTCGGCAGGCGGCGGGCGAGCTGCGGGGGGACGGGGGGCCGCGGGGGGGGATGTGACAGGGTGACAGGCGCGGCCCGCCGGCCGGGTACCGGAGCTGGGGGGGTTGGAGGAGGAGGAGGAGGAGGAAGAGGAGGAGGAGGCGGCGGCAGCCCAGGCAGCGCCGCCCGCCCGCCCGCACACGGCATTTAACGGCGCTGCCGGGCCGCGCCGTGACTCACACACGGGAGTTAGTCACAGGGCGGGCCCGCCCGGCGCCGCCCCGCCCCGCCCCCACCGCCCCCGCCGGCCAATGGGGAGCGGCGGTTGGGTGGATTGACGCGGGGGCTGGCCAATGGGAAGCGAGGCTCGCCCCCCCTCTGCCTCCAGCGCCGCTCGGCCCAATGAGTCTTCTGAGGACACTGCCGCGAAGTGCCGGGGAGGGCCGGGGGGACCCCCCGCGGGGGCGGGCGCTGCGGCTTGGCCTGCCGCCTCCGCCAATCAGCGTCGCGGGAAGGCTTGACGGACGGACGGCGCGGGCCAATCGGGAGGGGCTCGCCGGGAGAGCTGGTCACGCAGGGCGGGGGCGGGAGCGTGACTGGAGGCGGCGGGCGGGCGGGCTCCGGGCGGGGTCACCTCAGCCGGCGGCGTGCGGGCGGGCGCCGGGCGGGCGGGAATTACCTCAGCGAGGCGGGGCTGGGCTGAGGGGGCGGCCGCGGCTTTTTGGGGGTCCGAGAGGTGTCCCGCTGCTCGTACCCCGTTTTTTTTTCATCTTTTTTTGGTCAGGTTTTGAGAGAACAAAGCGTTTTGCGGCGTTCCGTCAGATATCGAAGGGGAAAAATGAAAATAAAAAGGCTAAAAGTGATCGCCCTGCCGGGCTGCGCTGCGGGGAGGAGCCGGCAGATAAGAGCCGTTATCAGCCCTGTGACAGAAAAGCGCAGTGCTGCCTTCCCGAGGGATGAATATCGCAGGAATTCACCCTGGGCAAGCCCTGCCTGCGAGCAGTGCCCAGCAAGGGCTGCAGCCCTGACAGGGGCTTGGTCTCGTGAGGGAAACTAATACTCGAATTGTCCTCCCCCCTTCACACAAACTCTAAAACTCACTATTTTTATTATTATTTTCAGTAAAGCAGCTGGTGGCATCATTGTGTTACCTCACAGAAGTCTGTCAGAGTCAGGGGCCACGCCGGCGTCCTCCCCGGCTGCAAAAATCCACGCTTTGTTTCCTTTCAAAACTTATTCCCTGGACACGCTGCTCTATTTACAGCCTTTTTTTTTTCTAAATTTAGCTAAATGAAGAGCTAAAACGCTACAACCTGCAATAATTTCTTCTTGTTTTCCACTTTAGATGTAGTAGGTTATTCCTGGTCGCTTTTATTGAGGGCTGGGAAGCCGGAGGGAAGATTTCACAGCCCCCGGCTGAAGCAGCAATGCTGAATCCCACAAAAATAATAATAATAATAAAAAAAAACACGGGGCAGGGTTGTCTCAGCATATGTGGCATAATCCTGCTAGCTGTCTTTCAAGAAATCTGGGATGGATGATACAATTCTCTAACATAAAAAGGAAAGAAACCCAGGAGCAGTAAGGTGGGGTCTCACACCTTCCCAAGCATTTAACGATGGCACACAGCTCAGCAAAGTTCAAGAAATTAGCTATTACTACGGATATATTTTAATTTTACCCACGAATGCTATCAGACACTTCTGTTTTTTGCACCTCAGCTTTCTCCCAACACCATCTTCATCGTGCTCATGGTCCGAGGATTTCTTACACGCAGAGCTGCTTGGGCTGTAGCACTGCTCGGCTCATCAGCTGTATGAAGCCATAAATCTTTGACTTCTGTTGGAGATAAAATTAGGACAGGAATGTTGTTCAATAACTACCCCAACTTCTCTGTTTCATCAGTCTGCTTTGAAAGCATCTGAAGGTTTCTCCAGCCCCCACCCTGGCTTGCACCTTAATAAAACTTTTTGTTGACTAATATTTCCATGCCTGTTGGAATCTGCTGAGCTGTGCTATTGTAAATGCTCTTGCTTTAATTGTGTTTGGATTAGAATAAACCAAATCCACCATATTGTTGTTACTTTGTGTTTTGTTTTACACATGCTGCACTTTGCTCTTCTTCTCTCCATTCGCTTTAAAATTTATAAACACTAACTGTATTTTGCTTTACCTGTTTACACTGAAACCCAAGGCACTTACCTTGAACTAACGGATTCATTGCAGCTAATTGTTGGGAGTAGTGAAGGATTTTCGCAAGTGATCCCCGCATTTGTATTGGTAGCAAAAGCAGAGGATTGAAGACCTGTCTTATCTTTTTTTCCTGCAATAGTAGTAAGAGGTTAGAATATTTGCAAGGTTCTGCAGTCTTCAGCAGTGCTTACATCCTGATTCATGCTTAGTGACTTCTGAACACAGCACAAAACATGGCTTTGCATCAGATTCTGTGCAATTCAGCAAATAAAATGATGAACAGAGTATTTAGCATTCACTGGTACACGCGCACACACACATCTATATGCACTCGTACCCTCTTCAAAGAACTGAAAGGGGTGGGAGTTTCAGGGTGGATGGTCTTTTCGCAGCTGCGTGTTCTTGAGAGGTAATATTCCAGCAGAATTTAGACAGAAACCAGCTCGTGAATTTGGGCACGATTGCTTCTAGAGGGTGAAAGTCTACAAGCAATCATCCTGCTCTGCTGCTACAACCTACTAGGGGGGTTTTGCGAGCATGTTTCCAGAGAAAGCAGCCAAGGTAATATTTCACATCGTCGCGGTGCCTGCAGCTTTCCCAGCGTAGCACAGTTTTTTCTTCAGGGCCAGTGTTGGCAAGGAAGCAATTATACGAAGATCTCAGCTTCTACGTTGAAAATCTCAACCTGACTGTTACAGAGAAAAGTTTGAGAACGCGGCCTGCTGCCGAAGGTGGTTTCTGTTTGAGGCAGTTTAGTTTGATTTTGTTAGTTCGGTGTGTAGGTTCAGAGCAGGCTTGCATCAGCTGGGTCAAGCTACTCCTGAGTTGAACCAAGTTAGCTGTTCAAATTACACCATTTCCATCAAGCTGCTTCAAACCCACTTGCGATTAGACTAGTGCAGGGCAGCTTAGGCGAGGATCAGCTCAGCAGGGGCGATTCTTGTGCCTGGCCTGGAAATTCAGTGGCTCACCCTCCGTAATTTGTACGTGGAGCAAAAGCGTGGAGGAAGGTAGCGTGTCTGAGTTTTGGCTCCAGCTCCCCTTAAGGTTTCCACAGCTGCTTCTACAGAAGTCATTAGAGTGAAAGAAACAACCCACAAACCCGAGAGGAGGAGTGGAAATGCTGCAGGGACTACTGCAGGTCTGCTCTGGGTGCATGAGTATGTCCCGCACGGCTCTGCCACCCTTGCAAACCAGGAGTAATCCCCCCTGCAGCCCTTGACGTTGAGGTTTCAAAGCCCAAACCAGGGGTGAAAGGGGTCAGATCCCTTCCCTGCTTGCATCCAGGCATATCTTGAGCGTGGTGCTGTGGCTCACTCAGACCCTTGCACTCCTTTCTGGTGGCCACCGTAGGCTCAAGAGCATTTGGTCAACAGTTTCACACAAAGACCTCAACGCCTGGCGCTTTTGCTGCACCGCAGCTGTTTACAAAATAAGTTTGTTTACTTACTCTTGACCTCAGGGAATACCTTCAAAAACCTGCAAATATTCCCTCATAAATGAATAAAAGCAGCGAATTTCCTTCAGCTGTGTTTGCTTTTTGAAAACATTCCAGTCTATTAGATTAGCGGCTAGAAATGTTTATGGAAAGAATTTTTCAGCCCGTTTTAGAGGGTATTCGTGGAAGGCAACATTTTATCTCGAAAACACAGTCATCTTACCGGGTGTTAATTTATGTTCATTGACTCAGGGGATGTCAAACAGCATTATATGACTTGATTTGTTCAGGTCATGTATCTCTCCTGTCTCTCTCCGGTCTCTCCGGTCTCTTTTTTTTTTTTTTTTTTTTTTTTTTTTTTTTTTCTGCCATGCTGTTTCCTATTCCTCTGCTATGCCAGGGATGGAAAATTTAACATTTTATTTGTTCACTTCACACCTTCTTCATTTCCCTCTGAACAGAGAGCTCCTTTCTTGAGCAGCAGTGAAAGTAAACCGCTATCACAAGGCAAACCTGGGGCCCTGGAATATAAAACCACTCCCTGCGATATTTAAATTCCTTTGAAAACCATCCTCTGCCATATGTCTATAAACACTGTCCAGCTGCAACAAGATTGCGGATTCTTGGCGACCATCTGAATTCAGCGAGGAAATAACAATACTGTGCACCGAGACAGTGGCAACTGCCGCCTTAAACATCTCGCTTTGCATTTCAAATACTCTTTTTTTTCCCCTGTTTTCTCTGATGTAGGTGGCAGGTAGAGCTGGGAACAAAGGTATAGCAGTGGAAAGTACTTGCTTTTCTTGAGAGAGGTGTCTCTTTCTGAACAGCTGGACGAAAATCATCAGTTTTGTTGCAGGACGTGCAGTGTAATCGTGCGTTTTGAGAGGCTGAGGTTTGAGCTCAACGTCATTACCGCTGGCACATGAACAGGCTGATACTCACACTCAGCATCACGTTCCTGAGCAATTCGTTTAGGAAATGACCAAGGGAGGAGTGCCAGAGCTCTCCTTGCAAGAAGCAGACTGTCCTTTACCCAGAGGAAAAGAACCTGGAAGTTTTTATCCCTAAACCACGCCATATACACGTGTGTTTGGAAGCTGCACCTACGCCTGACGCCCTGCCCAGCACTGCCAAACGCCAGCATCTCGAGTGATCTGAAAATTCAGCTGTCTTCGTGAGTTAAAGCACTTCTCCAACAGCGTCATTGCCTGGTTTGCAAATGTTTCTGATCTAATGCTTTCAGCTGTCATCCAACTGCAGCACGTCTGGGGCAGAGGCCACATGCTGGTGTTTGTTTATTTGTTTTTTCCTTGCTTAGGAGTGGAGCAGCAAAGCTGGGACAGTGGCATAAATGCAGATAAAAACCAAGGATCTCAGCACACCTCCTCCATCGGATGCCAAACGTTAGATACTTACAGCAGAGGTGCTTTTGTGTGATCCGTGAGGACAAGCTGGAGTTTCGGGAAATACCCGGTGAGAAAATTTCGTGCACAGAAATTCAGGGAGAGTGTAAGCTGCATGTGGACAAGCACGCTAAATTCGAGAGCAAATCGTATCCTATGTGATGTTGGTTCGGCTCGAGCTGCAGGTCCCTCCAAAGCAGGATTTTAATGCATGAAAACGAGCAGGCATTTATTGTGAGCTGCGACCACCAATTCCTTACGCGCTGGAGTTGGCAGAAAGCAGGGTAGAAATGAAAGGAACAATTTTAGACATATGGCAATCTGGCAAAGCGCTCCAAAATTTTAATTACGCTAAGGAAAGGTCAAGGCTGGATCTGTGCTGGTGGAGGGATAATTTGCTTTTAGAGTTTGTGAAAGTGCCTCCAAAACTAAGGAACCTGAAAACTGAGGAATAAAACTAACTTCTCCCGTGCAGGTGGTTGGTTCTGATCTGCTTTGAAAACAGCCTTCCGGAAGCATCCCAGAATTTTACCAGTTTATCCCAAATTTCAGGGGTGAACGCACAGTTCTTGGGGGCAGGGCTGGGACATCTCCAGGTCGAGACGAACCAATTTCTTTCCATAACCCAGTTTTCAGAGGAATGAGCTTGTCGAGGAAGTCGTATTCCCTCATTCGGAGGCCAGAAATTAAGCAACATCCCTAAATTCAGACACAGCTCTTGAAATAGCTGTTTCCTTTTTCAATATCTGCGTGTTCACCGACAGAGCTGGAAGCCCCGCAGCCCACAGGGAGCGTACGTACTCTGGCAGTGGGTGACAACCCCAGAGGCTACAGCCTGGATCAATAAGGCAGGCACAAAAACAGGGTGGTGAAATGATTTACTTAAAGATAAGACTTATCTCTCTGCACCCCAAAAAACGCTAGCCCCTCGATTGCCTGATGGAGCTGCAAGGAGCACGGCCTCACGGGCAGGGCAATGGTTAATTCGACACGAAAGCAGAAGAGAGCATCTCGCTACGGATTTAATTCACCCACTTGCCTTCCCTTACCTCCATTGTAAACCCGAGGGCCTGCATTCATACAGGAGTGCTCCTGCTAGAAATGACGCTGGCAATAAATATTGTGAAAATCGGCATTGTTTTGTTAAAAAAAAAAAAAGAGAGAGAGAGAGAGAGAGTGGATGTGCACCTCCAGTGACCTCGATTTTTCACTTCGCTGGAGTGATTATAAATGGCTTTGCTTCTCCATCAGCTCTGTCACAGACAGGACTCCTTCTTTTTGCCTCGCTGCCCAGATACAGGTGTGCCGAATTTTTTATTCCTGCCTCCAAATGCTGCCTGCGTGCCAAGAGCGAGAGCGCAAGACATGGATGGAAGACAAATTGTCGGGGCTACCCATGCCGAAAGGGCATGCAGGATGGGTGCAGGGGCAGTGCTGGACTCTTCCCATCCGTGGCTCAGCTCAGCCCTCGTGGATCTCACAGAGCTGGGGATGTGCGTGCAGAAAGAGAGATGGATCATGAGGAGCACAGCCCTGGAGGCTTCCCTTGCGGTTGTGAGGGTATCCAAAGGTGTAAAGGATGGCTAAAATGAGGGACGTAGCTTGGGCTGGGTATTGAAGGGGATGTGATGAGGAGGGCTTGGCAGGAATTAAGGAAAAATTGGCCCTGCCTGACAGCAAGGTCCCCTTCTCTGTGCTGCGTGGTGTTTATCCAGCCGTGCCGAGGAATAGGCACGCCCGTGCCAGGAGCTGGGAAGCGAAACTGCGCAAAGACGGGGGGAAAAAAATAAAAAGAAGAAAAAAAAATAAAAAAGGAGAGAGAGAGAGAAAGAAATCCAAGCTCAAAGAAAAAAAAAAAAAAAAAAAAAAAAACTGGAGGAAAAAGCACCAGGCCAGAAAGCCAGTGTGCTGAAATTAATTAGTTCGGACTGGGTCTGCCGGGCGCTCGCAGTAGCGGAGGGGCCGCAATCCTCGCCGTGCTCGGGAATGTCACACTCGGGCACAGCGGCTGCTTTCCAGCCTTTCCTTCGCTCCCCCCGCACGCTGAGCTGAAGCCAAGGAGGGAGAGGGAGGGAGGGAGAGAGGGAGGAAAAAGCGAGGCCGAGAGCTTTCTGCGGTCGGCGGGGGCCTATAAATAGCCGCTGAAGTCTTCTAATGCCGATGGGGTGCGTCATGCTGGCCCTCCCCGCTCTCGCTCCGCTCGCCGGCCCCGAGCTCGGAGAAGGGGGGGTAAAAATCCCGAGGATGCTGCTGGCCTCGTGCAGGCGTTGCAAAGGGTCTTCCAGGTCCCGTCACCCTCGCAGGGGGCAAAAGGCAGAGGCGGAGAGGTGCCAGAGGGGATTTTGAGACGGTGTTTTCCGTCCTTGTCCCTGCCGCAAGCCACTGGGGATGGCCCCCTTGTTTCTTCTGTGAGCCCCCAGGTGCAGCCCCCAGGTGCAGCAAGCTGTGCTGGGGCTCTTCTTGCAAAGAACCCATGTCCAAGGCAATATAATGCACAGGGAGGCCTTTTTTACTAAACCAAATGAGATCCCAGTCATTTTTCTTTTTTTCATTTGCAACACTGAGGTATTTTTGAGCATCTTGACGCTGCTTTATTTCTCTGTTTTTGCTCCAGTCCCTTATTCTTTTAGGATTTGCTTACATCAATCCATCAGGAAGAAGCAGGGGAACGTGCTGATGAGCATCTTGTCTGCATAAACTTGTCCGAAACTGGACCTGCTAAAGGCAAAGCTGCCAGGCTGACACGTGGGATATGCTTCTTCTCAAGGAACGCAGTGAGTTCTCCCAGATTTGGGGCTCTCCTTGGAGAGCACGTGGGGAGCAGCACGTGGTGATCTCTGCCACATCAGGGCAGTCTGAAGTGTCTGAAGCAGTGAAAAATTGCCAAAGAGAGGGTGCAGGATCATCTGCCCCTAGGAACAACCCCATCCCAAGCTGAGCTTCAAAGGTATCCAAGCATCACTGACGTCCTGGTGTCCAAAGCAAAGCTTAAGCTTCAAAACTTAGGGGTTTGTTGCTGTTTTGAAAGGCTGGGTGCAGAAGGAACCCCAGCCTAAGGTCCAGTGAATGAAATTCCTGCCGTGAAATGTCTGGCCAGGCTCTCTGTTCAGAGATGGAGAATTTGCCCTGCTCCCGACGGGTCCTGTATCGAGGAGGAAATGCCAATGGATGTGTCAGAGGGGCTTTTTGGTTTGGTGCCGTCTCAAGCAGCACTGGATATAGGCACAATTGTAGAGACCTTCAGCTCTTCATGTTTTTAGCACCCACGTTGTTAGTACGGGTACACACACCTTTCAAAGGCACAAATAAAACATGCAGCTCAAGCAAAATGTCTTTTTTTTTTTTTTCCCTGACAGTGATGTCTGTCCCGGCAGTAGGCTTGATATGCACTGGAGCCTACCTTTCCGAGCTGAAACCGTGAGGATTACTCACGTCTTTAAAAATAAGCCCACGTCGAAATTCCCTTGTTGGATTAAGACCTAAGCCCTGCAATTGTCACTTTTCCCGACGGAGGAAAGTACCAGTGGCTTAACTAAATATACCGTCCCCAGCGCCACGGGCAGCTTCTGGATTGTTTCTCTTTCCTCTTTTACTGGAACTCCTCAACGTTTCTGTAAGTTTATTTTACTATTTGGTTGGTTTGCTTTTTTTTTTTTTTTTTTTTTTTTTTTTTTTTTTTTTTCACCAGTCCATCTCCCCTTTTCCTGAGCGCTGTGTGATCTTTCGTCCCACCCTTGCCGTTTCTTCCCCGTCCTTCTCTGCCCATTTGCCACAAGCAGATGGCCACCCGTCGCTTCAGCTTTGGGGAGAAACTGCCAAACATGACAAAACAATATGTGTTTCTGTTAGCAGTGGCAAAAATCAAGCCAGGTTTAGCCTGGATTTGTGTCTCTTCTGTGTCTGATGATGTGCAAGAGCTGCTCAAAGTTTTTTCCATCACAATTAGTAGGGATTCTCCAGCAGGAGCTGTGCTGACATGGAGCCGTGTCCAGGTGGTGCTCCCACTCTTTGGGATGGGTCTGATCTTAAAAGAGCATTCGTGGCTTTGTCACGCGTGAAGAAAACTGACACTGAGGAAAAAGCAAGGACTTGATGTGTTTAACCATACGCAAGGAGGATGCTGAGTGCTCTGAGGTTGGGATTGTCTCTATACAGACAATGCACGGACCAGATTTAGGCAGGAAAATTGCTCTTCAACCCTGCTCTTGTCCTTGTTGGGTCTATCCTGGCTAAAATTGGAACTCCTCTGTGCTTCCAAAAAATTAGCCACAAATTGGATGGCCCCTTATAGTGTTCAAGAAGCCATGCACAAACTCTTCACTTGGATACCTCCCAAGAGAGCAGGTGTTGGGGCTCGGGCCCCAGCCCAGGGAAGAGCACACAGCCTCCTCTTCCCTCCGACCCAACGGTGCTTCGACAGCCTCGAGGGGTGGCAAATTAACCAGCTCTGTGCTCAGACACTACAAATCAAGACAGGAGCACTGCTGCTCATAGCACAGTGTAAGACACCGCCGCCCGTGTTTACAATAAATACTCCTCTCTCACTGGGAGAAAATCATTTTCATTCTCAGAGCTGCTTTTTTTTTTTTTCTTCTGGCCTTCCCAGCCGCTGCAGTGATCAGCTCCTCAAAGAGGTCTTAATTTGAGGAGTTTCCTAATGCATACCTTAGCACAAAGCGTGCAAGATTAAGCTTTTCAGGAGTCTCCGGGTACAAAAGAACTGTATTTCACAATGAGGAGGAGAAGTGCCATTAAAAATATCAAAGCTGTATGATACCCACTTTGTAGTTACGTTCCAAAGGACACTTTTATTCAAATTCCCTCTTTTCAGGAGCTTCCGTTTCTGAAATTTCTCGCTGTTGTTAAGTAGCCCAAAGGGAATTTTTTTTGTGTGTGTGTGCACAGGGCGAGTTTGGCATAATTCATTCAGGATATTGCAGTAATGGGGTTATTCTAAGCATGAAACAAGATAATTTTCACGCCTTGTGGAAGCCGTGTTCAAGTTCGCCTCATTTTGGATCGTTTCCCTCTTGATGGGCTCCTCCTGACCGGTGTGGTGGGAACTTCGGTTTTTCCACGCTGGCAGGGGCTGGCCTGGGGATTGATGGGTTTTGGGAGTGGCCCAGGCACCGGGGCAGCACATCCCACCTGCTGCCTCCTCGTCTTCTCCCCGAAAAGAGGAGGCAAGCAGCCAGTGCTCCCACAGGGGGCACGTGAGCACTGCATCCCGTACTGCTTGCATTAGCCCCTATCAAGCACAAGTTGGATATTTCAGGTGTATTTAGGGGCTAGGAAGTGCAAACAGACACATAAAATCCCACCTGACAGCATGGGACCCAGATGCTGACCTGGCTTAGGTGCTTGTGGATCTTACGATCCCACCACAACCTTCCTCCAGCTGCATCGCTGTGTCTTCAGGGATGAGACAGCTTTGGGAAAATGACCCATGGGCACACGAAGGTGTAAGAGCGGTATGCACGATTCGGATGATTTTTAATGCATATAAATGCTGCCACTATCGCATCTAAGCCCTGCATTGCCCCACCCCACCAGCACACCTGATTCTGTTATCAGAGGCACACAACACGCACGTGGCGAGTAAGACTTGGTGATTTCCAGAGCCTGCATGGGGAAGGTGGAGGTGAGCCCTCGACAGGGCTGTTTTAATCAGGATCACGGGTTGAACAGCACATGGCTGCAAAAAAAAAGGCCCACAGGAAGAGGGAGGAATCGGTTTCCATCATGACACCACAAATCCAGGTGCTGGATTTGCACCGGGAACCCAGTTCATGCTGCTGGTTAGCAGGATCTTGTTAGCCCCGCTTCTGGGGAGAAAAGCAAGGACTTATGCCTGACATATCTTGAAGATAAGCTAAGAAGGCGGCTGTAATCTCTATGACAGCCAAAAGATTTGTGTGAGACGCGAATTAATCAATAAAACCACTTTTGGTGGTGGAACAGAGGACACATTTCCCCGCCACACTGATGCCCACACGTGAGAAAGAAGCATGCCCTGCCGCTGGAGCGTGCAAAATAAAATACCAGCAACATCCACCTAAATTTTAACACTGAACTGTGAAACAACGGCGACCAGAAGAAAGGCTTTTGTTTCCCTGTCCTTTTTCTTGAACCGAACAGTGCCTAACTGTTTAACTTGTGGTTAAGGATTATTTATGTAGGGCTCTTGTGTAGGTAAAGCGCCATGTCCTTGGCCCTCTGCCCACGTAGCGCAGTGCAGGATCTCTAGTTACAAATTGCAGCTGTATAACATAACAGGAAACGTGGGGCTTTAAGTTATTCCACTGGAAAGATTAATTATTTGGAAAATAGTTATGCAGCAGCTTTGTGTATTTTTGGAGCAAAGGTGACCGGCACCATCTTAAATTTAAAGAAGTAAAAACCACTTGCAGGGAATAAAAAGGGACGCTTTAGAAACTGGAAGTGTCACGGGACAATTTGTTAATTTTATTTTAATAACGTTTGAATTGTCTGCTCTCACCGAAGGAGCCAGGGAAGAGTGGTGGTCAGTCCCAGAAGGGAGATGGTGGGAGAGGAGTGGGAGCATTTGGGAGCTGCTGGATTCAACTGCACCTTGACCTTCCAGTCCAAAATCCCATCCACCTGCTTAAGAGGAAGGTGCAGGGAGTCCTACCGAGGGGTGAGGCAGATCCCAGGAGAATGAGGCTTGTTTGCATGTTCAGGAATGTGTCCAGTGTGATATTTATTTGTGTCTCTGAGTTGCTGGTAGAGGCAGGAGCAGATTTGGGTTTGGCAGCCTGGTGCGATGGGACATCCCCTTGGCACTGGCACAAGGTGAGGAGCAAGCTTGGAGGCACCAGCTCGGCAGTGTGGTCTCCTTCAAAAGCATGCTGCAGACAGCATGAAGACACTAGAGCCCAGGGAACCCATTTCCTCCAAGTAAACACTCCTGGAAAAAAAAAAGAAAGCAAATGCAGTGTCTGGAGGGGATGTTTTCCACCTCAGGTTGGAAGATGGGGTGACAAACGGCACCTCCTGCTACATGTCCACGAGCCCTGCCCTGCCCACCTTGCTGTGGGCTTCTTTTTACAGCCTGGTTCAGGGGATTTTAATTTGCCCCTCTGCATGGAAGTGATCGCTCCGATTAAAGGGAACTACTAAAACAGCAAACTGGCTGCTGCAGCGCGTGGGCATGGGTGAAGGCCAAACTCTCTGATCAGCTCTGCACATGCTTCCGAGTGACTTCAGAGAGGTCCGCGGCCAAAACGAAATGTCTCACTGATTAGGATTCCTCTAAGCATCCAAATGTGCTTAAATACTGGAGTCCTCCAGAGGGATGTGGTTTGGATAAAGAAGATGTAGCTATTTTTAGGCAGCACAATGCACCTCTCAGTAAAGTTTTTCCACTCTGACACGTAACCCGCGGCCATTTCATGAGAGCAGCTATTCCACACCTGGCTCTGCACTAACCTAGTCTCCTGGGGCTTTTGCCTATGGCTGTGATGGGGATGTGGTGGTCACTCTCTGTTTGCTGAGACAGAGATGTCAAAAAGAAAGACCCAAATGAGAAACACCCATGCATGAACATGTCAGTGGGTTTGGGGAGACCCCTGAAGGGTTTTGTACCCCTAAATCTACCTAAGCTTTCCTGTACTCCTACCAATGTCTTCTGCGCAGTTGAAACCTACCCTAAAGAGATAATTGAGGTCATGAAGTTCCCTCAGAGTGCATATTTAGTCAAGTAGAAACTCCTGCCTGGGCACAGCTGCAGGGCGGTTTGGAAAACAGCCAGAAAAGCCCCTCTAATATCACACCTTGGCCCAGATAAGATGTGCAGAAAGACCCCCAAAGTATTATTAGAACAGATTTGGGAGAAACAAGTGAAGAATATGACTTCTGGGTTCTTCTTTCCCTCTGCAGGTGAGAGGAATGGGCAGGACATGCCCCATGGGAAAGACAAAGTGGGTCCCAGTAAACCAAGTCCAGCATCCATCAAAGCTCAGGGAAAGACTGGTTTCAAAGCAGTCTGGTTTTCCTGATCCATACTGGGCAAACACCAGTGCCAAAAAATGCTCACAGGGTGGTTTGTTAATCCCAGAGGGATTCACAGAAAAAATCTGGGGTCCAAGTGGTGGTGGTGGCTGGAGAACATCTTCCTTCTTCCTTTCAGGGCTTGAGTTTGTCATGGGTTCATGGGTAGGTTATTAAGGACTAGGTCTTTACTCCGTCTCTGTGTCATTTTTTAATGTTGTAAGAGTGATCAACTGTATTAATTGTCATTATTAATATGGGGAAACTACAAAAATGCTTCATTTCACCCCAAGCGGACCCTGTTTCAGCGGGCTGTGAACAAATAATTGGGGAGGCCAGCAGTTGGCTGCCATACAGGGAACTTGAACAGAGAGCATTGCTATTCAAGCAGACTCGTAGACATTCGAGGTGTAAATTTCTCATAATTGATGGAGTTAAATGAAGGACAGTCCAGGTCCTGGCAAAGAACAACATCAGATCAAGGGGGGCCTAGAGAAAGTTTCTTATAAAATCAAGAATGCCTCTGACGTAGGTAACAAGCCAAACAGAGAGAGCAGTCTCTCAACTTTCCAAGTTTTTTATTTCTGCCTCATTTGCTGCTACCTCAGACTAACCAAAACTCCATGTTTGTCTAATATAAAACAACTATTTTCGCAAAATTCTTCAAGCCACAGCAGTTTAGTCCTACCACAATAATTCACCACTCTACTACAGCAAATGTTTATATATGAAAAAACTTACTAGGTATTAAAAAAATGGAGGAAATGATTTAATTTAAAGCCTCTATATTTTAGTGCATTTGATAGAATACAGAAGGCATGATTTTCATCAGCCAAAAAATATTGTTAGTGGAAGCCTGCTTTCTTCTCCGCATTGCACTTTTTGTGGCCATTGGCATTCATACAGATCCCCACGCATCTCACCGAGCCGGGTTGAATTTTATACCCGTGGTACTTTCCCGAAGCAGATCTCCATAAAGTCTGGGTGTCATTTTTTCTTCCTTCTTCTGGGCCATTGACTGCAGGAGGAACCCAGGATGACAAAGTTCCTAATTTACGTTCAAGTAACTGCTTAAGTCTGGGTGGGACAAACCCAAGGCAGAGGTGAAGTATGGAGAAAAAGTCTGCAAATCTTGTTGCAGCAGAGAACACAAACCCTTTGTAAGGATGGAGGCTGCAGAAGGCTCTTTAGGTCTGGGGACAGCAAAAAAATTCATCTGAAAAAAACAAGGAGAGCACAGATAAGGTGAGAAGCTTCGAAGGAACCAGGTGTTTGGGGCAAAGCAACAAATCCTCTACATTTAAAAGTCACCTGAAGACAGAAGGTGCCTGGAGGGGCAAGGTCTTGCTGCCAGCTCAAATGCAACCTCATCGTAGAGCCAAAAGTGACTCTGGCGCTGTTGTTCAGCACAGTGGTCTTTTGAGTTTGCCAGAGAGCCAGATGTGCCCTGCCATGGGGAAATTATCTTCTGCACCTTGGCACCTGGTTGCTGTAGCTGCCAGTGAAAGAATGGCACGGGCATGTTGCAGTGGAGGGGCAGGTGGCACGTTGTGATGGCTTTTTCAAGTGATTACTAAGAAAAAAAGTATTGCGACAATTTTTGGCTGAAGCATTACAGATAAATGCTGTGAACAAGCTCTGTGAATGTGGCTCTGGGAATCGCTGAAATTAGCATTTATCGCTTGGTATTTCAGAGGATTTCAGGAATGAAGGATTATTTGGCAATAAAACCCTTTTCCTGGTGCTCTGTGCCTCGACAGGCAGCTCCCCAAATGAGCAGCCAGGCAGGCAGGCTATGAGTTATCGCGTGCCCACTCACACCTACTTGTACTCGGAGGGGAGGACACCAGGCTCCTGCTGACCCTCCTGAGAGGCTGGATATTTGGGAAATTAATGTAAGTGCAAGCAAACGGCTTGAAATCTAAGACAAAAAATACAGCAATTCCTTATGCTTCATTCCAGGAATGAAAAGAAAATGCTTTGAAGGCTTTTGCAAATCCAGCCTCTCCATTATCTGCTGAGATCAGATCATGACCTTCGTGACGTCTTCTCCTTGAGGAGGGCATTTTCCTGGTGAGAAAAGCAGTTTGTCGAGTGAGTACAGGGGCAGTGGTTCCAGAAGCAATTCCTCTGTTTGTGGGCGAGGGTTATCCCTTGGGGATCCTCGTGGGGCAGAAGGCAGAGCATCCTGGAGGCTCCCAGCCTGGGCCCCACTGGCCTCCAGCCTTTCCCCAGTGGCTGCTGCACCAGCATCTCACACAGCATCTCACACTATTGATCCCTCGCTGATCTCTAGGGGACTAAATAAAAGTAATGGGAAGATCTTAAGAAGAGAAATCTGGAAAATTCGGGAACGCTTCATAAAACCCTGGCTTCTGTGACACCCATCTGCTCAGAGCACACATTAGCGGGTTGTTTCTTCTAAATTAAAAGCTGTGATAAACTCAGCTGCTCTCGGATCTGTCACCATCTTTCTCCTGCAGAATTAATTTGCTGAGATGAAAGGGGCTATTCCCAACTCTCAGATAACTGCTGCCCCAAGGCAGGGTGCTGCAGCCCACCCTGGGCTTTTTACAGAAATCCCGTTTGGGCAAATGAAGGGCAATGCTGAAAGCGGGCGGCAAGGAGGTGGCCACACAAAGGATCAGTAAAGGTTCATCCTGCTAACTGGGAGCTACTGGTATTGGGGTTTATAACTAGGGGGCACTTTTCAGCTCGTTGGCGTTACCTGCTGCAGAGACAGCCCCAAAAGGGGCTGCAAGCAAGGGTGGGCAGGAAAGGTGAAACAATGCCCTAGATAACAGTCCTGGGGAAAACAAAGGAGCAGATGTTTATTGGGGAGTAGCTTCTGGCTGGCTCCAGCCAGGCGGAGAACAGTTTACTCTTCTCAAGGCCGAATCTGAGATCAAAAGGAAGATCTCAAACATCAGGGGACCCCAGGGCCACGCAAAGGCTTGGGGAGGAGGGGGCTGAGTGGCTATGGACACTTTTTTTCTGGAAAAAAAATCTCAGGAGGAGCTGCTCGCCTTGATGGTGTGAGAGCCTGGCAAGCTTTTTCCTTGCAGAAGGTAAATACGTGCAGGAGACAGCAGCTCAGAGGTGTGACCCCACGGACAAACCCTGCGTCTGCATCTTTATGAGAAGAGCAAATGCCTAGGGAAAGAGTGGAGACGTGCGTGTTTGGTGAATTCGCTCACAAGAAGAACAGATTATTGGGTGGGATAAGCTGGCAGGTAAGGTGGAAGCAACCTGGGTGTATTGATGCCACACGTAATTGTCCAGCAAAATGTTTTTTCTCTAATACCTAAATGCCTAACACCCATCTGTATGCAATACCGTATTCTCTCTCTTTGGAGAAGGAAAGGTGTCCTCACCTCTGCTGCCTCTGCTGGAACTCCCTCACCTTTTATTTTGCCCCAATGAACTCTTTTGGGCCACACTTTGCCCTAGAAGAGAATCTGCTTGGAGAAGCCTTGACTTGGTCCATCTGAGTACACATGAAGACCAGCAATAGGCTGACTTTCACGATCTTGGAGGTCTTTTCCAACCTTAATTATTCGATGGTTCTATGATTTAGCAGCAGACAACACTTCCAAGAGATGCTCACACCTCCCCTCCCTAAATAGGAAGCTCCTGAAAAGAAAACAATGAATTGCCAGGGGAAAAATAATAATAATAATAATAAAACATTTCAGAAAGTCTTTTTTTGGGCTAAGGAGCTTGGACTGGTGTCAGGCAAGATTTACAAAACTGACTTATAACTTGGGGTGTGCTGCCATGTAGTGCCATAATCGAGACTCCTTGAAGTGGCTTGGCTTCTGGACAAGATGGGGTGTTTCCCCTCTATGAATTTGTTCCCCTTTATGGTGCCTTAGGCATGGTGAAAGAAGATGGCTTTTGGACAACTGATGTGCTTGCTCAATCAAGATAAGGTGACGAAGCGTGCAGAAAAGGACAAAATGACAGAAAACAAGGAGCCCTGGTTTTGTGCCAAAGCTTCCTGAAGCTCCCAGGGGATAGCTTTGAATTTTGGCCCCATGGGAGCTGAAGTGGTTAGTACACCGTATCCCTTCCACTTTAAACCACAGGTGCTTCAGGACAGAAGGGCTTTTACATACCTTTTACATGGGGAGAGGCTTTGAGGTGGGAATGGCAGCCCTTTATTTTTCTGAGCATCCCAGAAATGGATCAAGGCTGTAAGGAATGTTAATATATTTTATTGGACGAGATGCTAGAGCTGGAAACAGCTTGTCAGCTGTTGGGCACACGAACACTTCCAGGATAAAAGCAAAGACCATAAAAGCTTTAAAAAAAGTGCTCAGAAACAGTTCATTCATGCCAGCAACACCTTAAATAAACCATCAAATGTAGCCAGAAAAAAAAAAAAAAAAAAACTAGAAATATCCCTATAAAGCAATGAATTTCATTAAGTGTGGATCAGCTTTGGGCAAAGTCTAGCTGGTTTGCTTGAAAGGCAAAATTCTTCCCTACAAAAACTTCCTAGACAGTGTACTCAATCCTTTTCTGTCTTCTTCTATCAAAACTCGAACATTTAATGAAAAGCTTGATTGATAATTAGCCGTGCTTGACCCAGGCAAACTGCTGGCCTAGGCAGTTTTTCTTTGATTCAAATTTCTAAAGTTTTCTTAAAATAGCACTATAGGGAAATCCCTGTGGAGGGCAGCATCTTCTGGTTGCTGGGAGAACCTGAGCAGCTCAGGCTGAGCGAAGAAGACCTCATGGCAGGAGAAATAGGAATATCACGGATTATGAATGAACCCAAACTGGGGAATTCCAGCCTCATCCTATTTTGTGTTTGATCCCATTCAGTGTCCAGGATCGGGCAGTTCAAAATTCGGATTTCTGAGAGTTTTGGCTAAAAATACAAGACAAAAGCCAAGACAAAATAGGGTATTTCTCATTCTCTGTATTTTTTCTTCCTTCTTGCTTTCCTACCTCCCTTCTCTAATGATATGAGCCATAAGGAAGATGAGAAGGTTTGGGGTAAACCTGCACAGCTGAAGTTCTTTAATCACTTATTACCCAGGGATTCCCTGCCTGCTTTGTCTACCTAGAAGGCATTAAAAAAAAAAAAAAAATTTAGATATTTCTGCTCAAATGAGAGGCTGGATATTGCTTTGACATTCCTTATTCATATTGCGAATTTGCCTAACATCATGTTGGGCCAAGCTGGGGAGTTTCTTGTTGCGTGCCCTGTCACAGCACTTCTCCACCCGAAGGAAAAGGAGAATGTTACAAGCAAAGTCCATGGGGCGTGCTTCTTCTATTGCTATGCAAAAGACATTTCAAGTGAGGTTGACATCAAAGCAGTGCCGTCAGCACTGAGCATAATGAGCGCCAATGAAGGACTGCCACAATTCATACATCAGGGTAGACACAGAGGCTGCAGAACAACGTTTCCCTCTCTTTGGTCTCCTTATTGTGGTGAGGTTCTTGTCAAAGACACAAAAACCCAGCCCCTTGGAATATCAGACATTTGTTTCAGTCATGGTGGCTGCCAGAAGATAATAGCCGTCAGTGTAAAATTACAAATCATTCTGCATAATGCTGTGCTGATTACCGTGAAAGCAATGGCAGTATTTGAATTTTACTCCTTTTTTTTTTTTTTTTTTTTTTCCCCCCTTGCCTGTCTTTGTTGCCATGCTGAGCTGAAGAGCCCGATGTGGCAGTCTTGCTCAGGCAGCTTTCTGCAGGCAGGCTTTGTGTGACCGGCCCGATGTTGCTCTCGAATTGCTCTTCTAGCGCTCAGCAGAAATGTTCTGCAGGTACTTCGGGGCAGGTGGGCGATCCTACTGCACATCGCCCTTTCAGAAAGCCCCCGTGGGCTCCTCCTTGAGTCTCCTTCATCAGCAACGTCCTACAGCTCTCCTTCCAGGTGGGAAGGGATTCTCTCCTTCCTTACAAGTCTGAGGACGTCTGGGATTTACCCTGCGTGTTTCTTTGCTGTTGTGCCCACATTTCCTGCAAAACATGAGCTACGTTAGGATGAGCTTGGGTTAAACCATGACAACGGTGTGGTGTTGAGACTGCACTAGGAATGTGCTGGAAATATGGATCAGGGGGATTAGTAATGAGGGGTGCCCGGGAAGGGTTTTTTTGTGGTGAGCAACTACCCAAAGGGAATCCTCTGCTGACAGAGAGGAATGTTTTCGGCCATAAAAAGGATCCCTATTTGCACGCGTGTTTTTAAATATCTGGTGCCTCCCACGCAGGACCCTGCTCTGTGTATGGCTGAATCCACCTTCAGCTCACAGTCTCCAAAGCCCAAGAATTCACTGCAAATCAAACTTTCCATGTTTTACCCCATGGCGATGCTGTTTCCCCTCTTCCTCCCATCACAAACATTGCCAGCGGTGCCGTTTCAGAGAGCAGAGCAGAGCCCTTCATCTTCTTCTCAACACCCTCGGCTTTGCTGAGGACAAGACACGCTCAGCTGCCATTTTCGGGTGATTCACGAGCCAGAAAAAGATCCTGGATGCTTCAGAGAAGGGATGCACGAAGCCCTCAGTCACTGTGAGTCACTTCTCTGCCAAATGCTAATTTTGCATCAGAAGCACGTTTCACTTGTGTTTTGAGAGAAGGTTTTTTCTTTTTTTTTCTTTTTTTTTTCCTCCCTTCTGTCATTTGAGGACAAACCCTGCCCAGGAGATGCTGAGCACCCACAAGTCACGGAACACTTGCGGACTGCCAGAGCCTCTCATGTGGGATTTGGGGCCAGATCTTCCTGGGGTGCACATCTGTGTAGACATCCTCATTTCAGGGAAGCAACTCAATCGAGTTTGTCATTGGTAGGGTGGTCTAAGCAGGGTGTTCAGAAATAATCAGGAAGGTGAATGGTCACATAGACGGCTGCAAGGAGGAGGATTTCTTGCGGGGAGGGTCATGGAAAGCACACCTTTCTTTCCTTCTTTGGTCTATTTGCTGCCCTCTATCATTGTATTTAAAAATATCTTTTTTTTTTTTTTTTTTTTTTTTCCCAGTGGCAGCAATGAGGGAGGCTGGTAGATTTTGTGGCATTTTCAGGACTTTTCATCTTCGCTGATCTGTATATTTGATCTTGATTTTTAGTCACGTTCTTCCCCTTTTCTGTTCTTTAATTGCATCAGGATAAGCTGTGTGTTTATTAGCTGTCATGGTTAATACCTGTCACAGCTAATGGCTGTCATAGTTAATACCTGCCGATGATCTGGAGTTAAGAGGAAATAGAGCAGTCGGTACCGTGTAAGCTTCATTTTTCCTTGCAGAGAAATCTTGGTAGGACTTGTCGGAGCCACATATGTTGTCGTGTTTAAAAGATTAAATGCTGGCCCTCGGTGGCTGAAGACTCAATATTACGCAGTGAGGATGAAGACATCCCTCCTCTGTGATGAGGGCAGCGAGGATGCAGGAGTTGTAAGCCCCTGTTCCCCAGCAGACAGGGAACATGTGGGAGTTTCAGGTCTTTCTTCCTTTTCCATCTCATCAAAGATCAGAGGTTTCTACCTAGTCAAGAGTAAGAGTGGAGGCGACAGAGCAGCGACGCCACAGAGACATGCTGCAGGATGTCCTTGCTTAGCAGGGTGACATAAAGTAGCTTAGTGGGGAAACAGAAACTGTGGGAAAGGTGTGGAAGGAGGCAGGCAATAAAAAGAAGAAAGGAATGATGCAGAAGCCAAACCCCTCCTCTTTGGCCCCCTCCCACTATGTGCGTGAGCACTGTACCCTCCCATGAACATTAAGGGCTGGTGAAACAGCCTGAAAATAAATAAATAAATAAATAATAAACGCACGCTGTAGCCCCAGGGGTGGTAGAAAGAAAGCAGAGAGACAAACACTATCCCTCCTCCGGGAGATGTGGAACATAATTGGGCACGGGGAAACCTGGCTTGTGTCTCGTGTGAAAGATGCTCGAGCAGCATCCTCAGGATTTGGCTCCTGGATGAGGGCCGCCGCGTGCAGCGGGTTCATTATTTATTTACAGCTGCAATTGTCTCCGCTTGATGCTCGCCTATCTGTGCTGCTGGAGCTTGCTAGCGAGAGATGGGAAAGCCCTGTTAAATCATTAAGCCTCCCCCCTGAAGTGCAGGCCGCGTGCTCTCAATCTGATAGAAACCGATACCGCAGTTTATCTCTGTCAGAAGCGCTGCGAACACTTAGTGCCTGTCTCTTAATCTCATTGTTTTCTTAAAATATCACGTCCTGGTGCTCTGCTGCTGTTTCAGCACAAGGGGAAATACGGAGGGGAAACTTGGTGCTTACCCAACCCGATCGCCTCCTGCAGCGAGGTGGCTGGGCAGTGAGTGGGGAGCACTGCGTTTATTTCACCTTGCTTTTGGTGTGGATTTTGGCTCTGTCTCCCCTAACGTCCCCACAGGCAAGCTGACATAGTACAGGTTAGAGGAAAGGACGGTGAGGTGGGTTGAAAACCATCTGAGTGGTCCAGAAGGTTGTGATCAGTGGCACAAAGTCCACCTGGGGGGAAGTGGTGTGCCCCAGGGGCTGGTAGTGGAGCCAAAGCTCTTCACCATCTCCCCCGTGCCACTTGAATGACAGCACAGGGTGCATCCGCAGTGAACGTGCAGGTCATACAAAACCGGGAGGAGCGGCTGGAACACCAGATGGGACCTGGCTGCCATCCAAAGGGACCTGGCCAGGCTGGAGAGCTGGGCTCTCATGACGTTTAGCACAGGGAAATGCAAGATCCTGTGTGTGCTGGGGGCCAGCAGGCTGGAAAGTGGCTCTGCAGAGAAGAACCTGGAGATCCTGGTGGACACCAGATTGAACATGGCCCAGCAAGGCATCTTTGCACCAAAAAAAGCCAACAGTCTCTTGGGCTGCACTGGAAGTGCTGCCATCAGATGGAGGGAGCTGATCCTTCCCTTCTGCTCCGCACTGCTGAGGCCACACCTGGAGTGCTGGGTCCAGGACTGGGCTCCCCAGTACAAGAGGGACCTGGGCTTGCTGGAGAGAGCTCTGCAGATCTTCAGAAGCCACCCGGACCCAGAGCCAGCAGCTCTGGGTGGCCCTGCCTGAGCAGGGAGTTGGACCAGATGTCCTCCAGAGGTCCCTTCCCACCTCAACCTTTCTGTGATTCTCCAATACCCTTTCTGGCTTCTTGTCTTTTATTATTATTTTTTTTTTCCTTTCAGCTGAGGAAGCCCTCTCTGCCTCACATTGCCTGTATTTTTTTCCAGGTGCTGTTTTTAGCTCGCTGTTTCCATCCACAGAGATGCCAAGATTTTCAGTCAGGAATAGTGAATCCTATGCCCAGAGCTTCACAGATCCTCAGCAACGCGCACTGCCGTTCCCCAGGTGTTTCACTGCTCCTCCCCAAAGGCACAGTATTGTGGTCGTAACGTTCAGTGTTAATGTTCAGGAATAATTAGCAACAGTGGGATTTTTTAATCCAGTAAACCACGGCTGTGTCATAGCACCTTGATCACAGCAGGGTCCTCCTCTGCTAGATCCTGCCTGTGAGTTTTATCTCATTAGGGGAAGCCATTTGTACCCTACCATCTCCCGAACTGGCCAAACATCCACGAGCCTATTGCTAATCTGCTTTCTCTATTGAAAACATCAATTCCTGGGGGTGATGGCTGACGTTAGATCAATAAGACACGTAACCCACTCTCCTGGTGCTTCACACGAGCACTTGAGTAGCTTGTTAACAAGATCTGCTGGCACTGAGATCCCACACTCCAGATGTTTTCCACCATCCAGAAATGGCAAAAAAAAAAAAAAAAAAAAAGATCTGCTGCCACGTACAGGGCTGGTTGATGTGGTAAGGGTTGAGGAGACGACCCCATGGTTGGCAGCTTTCTCTTCTGGGTATTTCTTGATGTTAAGCTGCAGCTGGGGAGGGTTTTCTCTCGAGCAGACTTCTTGCAAAGGGGACAAAACTTTGGGCTGTGGGTCCTCGGCGTGATGGGTCTGACCCACGTCCCCACGTCATCCTTTCTGTGTGTGTGCATTGACACAGCGGGATGGAGAGCTGCAGGCTGCCGGCTGCAAAAAATGAGGATAATACCTTTGACCCGCTGGCTCGTGGACTGTAATTAGTTTACATCTGAAAAGCACGGTGACAGTGAAATATTTCCTGTGTGTCTGCTCTTAGAGACAAAGGCAGAGGTAAGGAGGGCGGCGATGCTGGAGGGAGAAGAGGAGGAATATAAAAGGATGGCAAAGATGAAGGCCAGAGATGCTCAAGGACAGACACAAGAAGCCAGGCTGATGATGGGGAAGAAGAGGGCGTGCTTCCAGGCAGCAAAAAGGGGAGCACTACGGAGAGAGAGGAAAAGAGCAGCAACGACAGGGAGATGGATCGAACGGGCAAGGCATGGACTGAAGGTGGAGGCACAAAAGGGCAAGGACAGATACACGCAGCTTTGCAATGAGCAGCTGTGATTTATGTTCGCTGCCTTTGTCACATCATCCTTCCCTGGCAGATGTCCCGCACGCAGCATCAGATGTGTATTTGGGGAGGGGAGAGAGGGGATTTGGAATAATCAGACTAACCCTGAGGTATGGAGCGCGCTTCGAGCAGCCTGTACAACCTACCGGGGAATTTTCATTAGAAATAAAATCTTGATTAACTGATAGCTGGGTCCAGGTGTCACTTGCCTTTCCTCTCCTGTTTCACTCTTCTGGGGAAGTGTTGCCTTGCTGTCCCCAAAGGTTGGAGGCCACCCCATTAAATGCTGCTTCCTATATTCCAGCCACCTCTCGGTCTTCTTTGAGGCCACAGCAGCTCCTCTGCCACTGGGAGCTTACCAGGCTTGGTACAATGCACTGGTCCCCATTTCCACTGGCAGCTTTTAGGGGAGTTTGTGTACCCTAAAAAGCTTGGAAACAGCTGCAAGGGAAGCTCAGCTTTCTCTCCTGTGCTTGGAAAGGGCTTCTCCACCCAGCTCTCTCCTTCTTCCCCCTGGAGCCAAGAGCTTGCAGCAAGCTCTGGCCTGAGATGCCTTGTTAAAGGGATGGGAAAGAGTAAAACAGAGCCAGGGCAAAGAGAATATCAAAGAATATTGATTTTATATCAATACATTGCACGGTTGCATAAAGGAGAAATAAAATGTTTGGACATTTGGTTGCACTTCCAAAAACACATCGAAGTGAGAGCGCATAAATTGTTTAAAAAAAAACCAACAATGTGCATTAAATAATGTTTTCCTGCCAAAACTTGATGAAAAAAAAAAAAAAAAAAAAGAAAAAGAAAGCATCAACTGAAGGGAAAGTGGAAAGCATTTTGATTGAAAAAATGTCAGCTAGCTCTCTGAGAAGCAACAACAAGCAGCAGTGATTGTGCTTGTACAAAGCGGGCCCTTCTTCGCCATGCAGAAGTTTGTTTTTATTTTTCCAGCTTCAGCTGGCTGATCGCAGCTCACCCCCCTTTCCCACCAGACAGCCAAATAAAACCCACACCCGTCCAGGCTCGCCCATTGAACTCTCCAGAAAGCTTTGGGCCAAAAAGAGGAGAAAAGGGGAAAAAACAAAACAAACAAATGAAAAACAATAGAAACAAAACGAAACAGCGAGGTCCAGATCCTCAAAGACATGAAATAGCTCTGAGGACTGGGCTCTGCGCTGCCGGTGATGTTTCCATGACTGGAAGGGGATTTTCTAGGTGTTTGGGTTGCTGCAGGTTCAGTGGCTTGCAGAGAACTTCTAGGTCTTTTATTCACTAATCCTACACGAGCATTGTGGGCTGACAGAGACATAATCCAGGCTCCTTCAATGAATCTCGTGGAGTTTGGTTCGTAGACGGAAAATGAATTAGGTTAAGCGGGGATTAGAGGAGACGCACCACATGCCTGCTTCGCCCCGCGCCATCGTGATTGTTTATGTGTGAGCTGGAAAAAAATGGTTTGGGGAAAAATGTTTGTAAAAATAAACGGGTTTTCCGAACTGAACAAAAGGAATCACAAAAAGGAACCTTAAACTGGAGAGACTTGCTCGAAATTGCAGTCCTGTGACACTGGACAGCCCTGGAAGGTCTACTGGGAAATATATCTGGGATGGAGCCAGCATCCATGGAGGTTTGGTGGCCATGGATAGGCTGTGGCTGAGCAAAGAAGGGGTGATAGGAGTGGATACCTTCCAAACAAAAAGGTTTGTGTGAGGTTTTAAGAAATGTGGTCATTGAGGTGACAGCCCCACGGGTTGTCCTCATCGACCCCGAGAGGCCAGATCCTGCCTGCAGCATCCTGGGCTTCTTGCCGGTGGTGCTGGAGCCAGGCTTGCTGCCGCTTTTCTGGATTTTCTATTTTAAGCCTCTTCCGTCAGAGGTGCGGAGTCGGAAGTTGCCATGCCGACCGGGAAATTTCAGGCCCTAAAATAGTCAAAACTTGCTCCTGCGGCGTGCGAGCGTGCGTCTGCTTCCCGAGAGGGAGGCGAGGAGCGAGCTGGTCGGACGCAGCTTGGCGTCGGGAGGCCGTGAGCATCCTTCCTTCGCGGGGGAAAAAACGACCCTCTCGAGAAAGCATGTGCAGGGACGGCTTCCCTGTAGGCATCCCAGCAAATTAAAAGCAATGGTGGGCAACAGAGAGCAGCAGGTCCTAATAATCACTCCAAAGCATTAAGAAAAACACTTATTATTCTTGGGTTTACTATTATTCTTGCTGTTATAGAGATATAGAGCCTGTGGAACCTGAGGAGGAATCAAATCCTCAGTGTGAGACACGGAGAGCATTGGAAGGAAATCGGATGGTTTAGGAGGCAATGTGCATCTTTCAGGGAGGTCTTGAACCACACTTGTGGGGTAAGGTTGGCCCACCATGATGTAAAGGATTTGCAGCTGTGTGCTGAGGCACCCAAGGGCAGGACTGGTGTATTTCCCCGTGGCAATGTCCTTGCACGGCTTTCCAACCCCAATCGGCTGCTTCAGCTTTTCTCCCAGAGCGTGGCACCTCGCTGTTCTCCACTGGCCTTTTTCTCAAATCCCAGGACATCGGGGTTGTCTGACCCTTACCCATGCCACGCTTCACACCAGCATCCCGTGGAAAGGACATCTACACAGCTGCCCCATGTGAGCATGTGTACGTGTCACTCTTAATTCAATCCAAGTTGACCAAAGATACCTAAATGTGTGTTTTTTCTTAAAGTTATTTGAAACTGTGGTCGCCCAGAGGAGGGAGCCCCTGAAGAGATGCCTGAGGCATCGAGCCTGTGACACAGAGCTGGTTCGGGGGCCGTTTGGTCTCTCATGCGTGCTCTGCTGAGGTTATTCCTCAGACTTGCAGAAGCATGGATGCAAAAGCTGCTTAGCCATTGCTGCATGAGGAGAAAAACAATTAGCTTCACATGCTCAGAGCCAGCCAATTCTCCTACCCCAAAGTGGGCTCAAGCAGGTGTGCGGCCACCAGAAACCCAACCCTGGGATGCTCCTCACCATCACCAGCCTGGCGGGGGGCTCAGCGAGCATTTGGACAAGGGGCCAGCTCACCTTTCACATCCTGGATTCTGCCTTTTTTTTTTTATTCCCTCCTTCGGTGCTATTGTTTTCCCCCGCACGCCCCTCCAGCCAGTTGTGGCTCTGCGGTCCACGCTCACAAATGCAATTCTTGTGATGTATGAATATTTCACAACCCCTCCCTCCCCTGGAGACAGCGCCTGCCGAGGAGGCAGCCTCCGCGGGGATGGAAATCCTAGGGAATGACAATCTTAATGAAAGATCTCTTCTCTGAGGGCATCTCTGCGGAGGAGCACACACTGTCCTGCGGGAGATCGCTGCTCACCAGGGCACACCCTGCTCTCTGGTTTGGAAAAGACTTCTTGGCTTGCCTTTGGTGGGCGTACGGAGCAACGCCACTGCATCTTTTCCCATGACACAGTGTTTTATTGGCTTGGAGATGCCTTGGGATGCTCTGGTCTGAGCTTCTCATAAGACAGGTGGAAATATCTGCCCTACCGTGGACATACAGCGGCATAGCCCCAGGCTTGGCGTGGTTCTTTGGGTCAGTTTTTCCATCAGATTGCTTCCCCCATCCCGACACGCACGAGCAACTGATAATCCAAACCCACACAAAATCTGACCCCCATCCAAACTGGAATTACTCATCAGCATGAGCATCTCCGGCAGGACAACGCAGCTGCCTGAGCCATCAGTATACGTACAGCTACGTGTAAATATCCCACTGCACGTATATAGCCACCCTATGGATGCCCTAGAATACCTGAATATTGTTGCAGACACATCTCGGCTCTCCCAGCAGCAAGCGCAGCCCATGGGCGAGCAGGGCCAGGGTGCTGTCTGTCCCTCCGACAGTGGGTGGCACTGTGTCACCGAAATAGCTCCGCTTCCACTGCTCCGATCTTCGCTTTTCGTCTCGAAAGCAAGGTTAAGCGCAGGGGGATTCGCGCTGCCAGCTTCGGGCTGCCTCGAGGATGTTTTTCTAGGAAAATCAGAAACGGTGAAGTTACTCCGAAGGCTGAGCCTGCTTTGTGCTGTGCTCGTCTCAGCTTTTTGTTTGTTTTAAGGACCAAGAAGCATCAATTAGGAAAAGTTGGGATGGCTCCTACTTTGTTGTCCTTTTGCCTTGTAAACCAGACTAATTGCTTGTTCACTTTTTGAGGGCTGTACTAATTTGTGACACTCTCTCTCCTACAAACAACTTTTAAATACCTGTAAGTGCCTGGGGCTCGGTGTTGTGGCTCAGTCTTAATAACAAGAGATATGGAGGTGGATTTACATCTGTTGCAATAATTTTCCTTTGCATTTCTCTTCTACTAGGGATACTTGGGTCTGCCTTTCATCTGCTGTAGGACTTTCTTACAGGAGACTCACCCTAATTAGCTCCTGTTGCAAAACTTCTGCTAATGTGACCTGACAGTGAGTAAATAAAAATGCAGGATCTCCTGGCATCTCAGAGCATCGACATGTTTCCAGGTGGCCCATGCACCGGAGCAGAAATACTGTGCCGTACTGGGGATGTCCCAGAGCAGTTCCAGGTCTGGTGAATCATTTCCAAGTGATGCATTACACCAGGAGGTGTCAGTGTCTCCTGCCTCTGCTCTGGGTGCTTGTCAGAGGTTTAAGGTAGGAGCTGCTCAGGCCTCGCAGGCGACCCGGTTTAGGCTTGCAGTGGTGCTTAGCTGGATGGAAAATTGGGAAAATTGTCCCTGCTTTAAGGAATGGGACCAGCTTTCAAATCCATGGAGCAAACCACGAGTATATAGAGGTGAGGAGGGGAATTACCAGCTCTGTTTGCTTCTTCAAACAGGACAGGGTTACAGCTATTCAGGCAAGTCCTGCGTTTACCCGCAGTGAAAATGCCCCTTAATGATGCTGCTAGGAGCAAAACACTGCGTGCTCACACATTGCTCAGGCAGCCTGAATAATGTGGGACCCGGCTGCAGCCAGGGTAATGGAGGGGCTGTAAAACAACAATACCTCGTCTCCCTAGAGGGCTTTTTATCCAAGGGCCCTCTGCTCCCTGACACATCTTGGCCAGTTCAGGTTCCCCGAGGCAGATGAAGGTCCGAAAAACCTGTTGTTCATCCTGGGGTGATGCAGGAACTATTTGTTCTTCTAGAAGATGTTTGGAAAAAGCTTATGGGAGAATGACCAAAGGACAAGGCTGTGCCAGCATTTGCCCTGCTCTTCTTTATTTTAAAGCAAACAACTCTGTGGATTTTATGCCGGCCCTTTATATTCTCTGGTCTGCTTAAATCAGCTCAGCCTCGGAGACCAGTGGGTGCACGTTTGCTCATGCTAGCTAGGGGCTGGCTCAGTCTGCTTGCTGGCAGCAATGCCACATGCCTCCGTGTAGCTCCAGCTAGGTTTGTTTTACTGGGACCAGATGGAGGCAACAAGGGGCTCTTGTCCCAAGGGAGATTTCTGGGTGTGAGAAAACACCGAGGGAGATTTCTGGGTGTGAGAAAACACCAGTTTCCCCCAGACACGCTGCCTTTATGCACCCCAGCAAAGGCTTCATTGCAACATCAGCCTCTGTGCTCCCTTCTGTGGAGGCCCTGGGGCACAGGGCTATGAAAACCACGCAGGCTGGACCTTCACCCTCTTCCGCACAGCATCTGCTCTGCTTGGGTGAACGGTGCTCAGCAGCAAGGGAGCGCCAAGTGGCAACGTCCACTTCCATGGGATTTGCTACCAGAACAGTGCAGGTTTTGTATTTGCTAGGTAGAAAAGCCAAACTTTGCCCTTGAGGTGAAATCTGTGATGTTTTATGGAAAATGAAGCAAGGCAACTGTAGTTGTCACCTGTGTTGGCGCTTGGGAGCCAGTTGCTCCTAAGATTAGCCCCACTGCTCCCCACCTTTCTTCCTCTAACAGGAGCAGCAGGCTCACTGCCCCACCGTTCCTTCCCCACACGCCCCAGTGCCTTGCCTTTTGGGTGGCAACATTAAATTCTGCCTCCGCAGCTGCACGATGGCAAGCTTTGCCCAGACTTGTGCCTGTCCAGCGCCCACACAGGCTGCAAGGCTCAGAAATCCCCAAGGATGAAGCCCTTGGCTCAGGCCCATCCACCTGGCTTTGCTGCCCATTGCCCCTCTTCATGCCAAGTGTGGACATTAAAGTTAACGTGCAGGAGTCACAGCCCGGGCCCTAAGGATCATCCACAAGATGCCCTTCGTTAAATGATTTCTGCCAGGGTCGTTTAATGACAAGTGTTTTGCCCTGGCTGCATAGCACATGTTTTTTTTTCTGAGCTGGACGCCTCAGTGGGACCGGCTGGAGGTCTTCATGAGCCAGAGGCTCTCAGGAGAGGCTTTGGCTTTTCTCAGGTTAGGCTGTTTCTGACTCACAACCTTGTGCCTTGCTTTCAGATCAGGCAGAGAGATAGAGGAAGGATGGGTAAGGAGGCAGCCCGGTGCAGGTTTCATCCCAGGCTCTGCAAATTGCTTTAGTTAAATTGGAGATGTTGTTAGTGGTCTATCACCATGCAGCTCTTGCCTGCTCTTCAGTTAACCCTTCCCCAGGAGCAGAAAATGAGAGGACTTTTTTCCACCACCCTTTCCATCTGCAGGAAGCTCCGCGTGCAGCAGCCAGCTGCAGGGAGGGCTTAGGAAGGAGCCAGCAACAAGAAATTAGGTAAAACTGTCCCACTCCCCATCATGCCGGCTACTTAGTTGAGAAAGTAGGCTGTAAGCTCCCAGAAAATTATTTCTGAATATGCACAAAGCTAAAAGGCAGTTTCTATATTCCTGCTGGCTAGAAGAGAACCAAGACTACAGCTAGACACCGGATGGCAACAGTTCATTAGAAACTCGGATTTCACTGAAACTATTTAGAAATACAAGTTGTGTTTGCGTCTAATGTGATGACAAGTGCATTGGGAGAAGCTCCTGAGATTTTTATTTATATTTTTTTTTTCAAATTGATTTATCTTGTGTTAATTAAATTACAGTCATATATTTAGGAATTCCCCTACTGCGGCTCGGGGTCAGAATATTGCCCTGGTTTAGAGCCGGAGCCGTGCACCCTACGTGTGTGTGTACCCTCACATCAACCAACACATCCCATTGTGTTTATCCAGTTCAGTTTCTTGTGAAATGCTCCTACCAGCTTCTGTGTGTTTTCAGCCCAATCGCTCTGAATGCAATTATCCGATCTTGCTAAAACTGTTTAAATGCGATTAGCCGATGTAATTATCCAATAATAGAGCTGGTCCAAAAATTAAACCAGCAGAAAGAAGAGGAAAAGAAATAAAAATAAAATAATAATAATAATAAAAAGAAATCTGAGGCATTTGCAACAGATTTTTTTGGATTATTTTTCCTATTTGTCAGAATGGAGAAAAAAACCTCTGAAGCAAGAAGATTGTTTTCCTTGTGAAAAAAAAAAATACAAAAAAAAAAAAAAAAAACAACCTTTCTGCAGTATCATCAGAATTCACTCCCTGAAAACAGCTTTCTGTCTGAAAATGCTGACCCAGGGAAGATTTTCTGCCATTTTCCATGTGCTCCTCTTTATTCACCTGAAGGCACACGGGAGATGGTGTGGTTTTGTTCCACATGAGCGGAATCAACAGTGATCAATGTCCCGCGGAGAAAAATGTGTCCAGAGCCTGCTGGAACTGGCTGGTGGTGCTCTCCTGCCCCGGTGATCTGCCTCGTGCTCCTGGGGCAATCGTTTGGGGGTGAAGAGGGAGCCTTGCTCCAGCTCTACAGTCAAATGCTGTGCTGTGAGCAGCAGCATCTCGAAGGTTTGCATCCCACCTTACTGAAAATAATCCCTCCAAGAACACCCCGTGCTCAGTGCCTCGGTTTTCAGCAAGAGGACCTGAGGTTGAGCACTACTGAACACCTCAGTCCCTTCATCTGAGTTTGGTTCTTGGCCATTTTCTTCACCGTGTGAGCAGGCACCTTCAACCTTGGAGGCATCAAAGCACCACGACTCTCCCGGCTCAGGAAAGGAGGTTAGAAGCCAGCTGAACAAGTCGAGGCTTACTGCTATGCATTCACTCTTCGTTCTTCATTTGGCTAATTAAGCAAGAAACCCAGGTCGTAAATTAATATGATTAAAACAAATGAAGCAGTGTAGAGTACACCCTTAACCGTGTGGATCAGAGGTCGCTCCAATGTACTTGTTTGCTTAGCCCACTCTGGACAAAGTCCTCGCCGATTTTGAACATTTAATTGTCGACTCTTCATTTTTTACAGTTCATTGCTTGCAAGCCTCCCGAGGGCCAAACCCTGCCCCATCCTGCCCCAAGGGGGAATGAACTGAATCAACAGGAGCGGTGTGCGTGCCGCCGAGGGTGGGACACGGCTGTGCCCGCTCTGCACTTGGGATGGAGCAGAAGCAGCGGTGTTTCACCACGGAGAAACTTCCTACCTTGTTACCAACCTCCTGTCCCCATCAGCTTCCAGCTCAGGCTGGGTCTTGCAATTTGCCCTGAACCTTTCTCTGTCTCCAGCTGGGGGCAAGGCCAGTGTCCGTTCCCAGGGCTGCTGGCCGTGGTTTGTCCCCCTGCAGGTCCGGGGGCTGCTCCCCTTTCCTTCTGCTCAGCACCAGCTCATTGGGATGAGTTGGTACCATGCTCTGGTACACCAGCCAGCCACCACTTCCATCATTTCTTGCAGTGCTGGAAGTCTCTGAGTGCTCCCTGCACTAAGAACTGAATCATTTAAGTTTGGGGAGAGAAGTCAGGGAGACCAAAGCGACCTGCAATCCCATCCCCTCCAGGCACAAATACCCCATCCACGCTGGGGTGGAAGCACCACGAGGGTGTTGCAGGCACATCTCCGACCCCTTCGTTAGCTGGGCCCGGCCACCCGTCTCCTTTCCTGCCTCGTTAGGAGCTCTGGTCCCTGCACAGCTAAGCCAGCATTCGGGGTGGATGCAGAGAAGGGCAAACCACCAAACACCAGTGCTTTTCTGTGCCCCAAGGGTGTGGGTGAGACCATGCATCTGCTGGCTTGAGGTGGATATC